GCTTATTCGAAATATATTATGGGGGGGGGGGGGTGCGTATTCGAAATTTATCATGTGGATAATTTAGCATAATTTCCCATCAGCCTCGGCATACAACAGTAATCAATCAATCAATCAATTTATTTGGAAATTGCACCTTTCCATCGGTGGCACACACAAAAAGTGGTGCATCCATAAGAAAAACGCAGCACTAATCTTACAGGCATTAAAGAGCTACAGTAGAAAATACATTTGAACAAAATTTTTTGTCTTAAATTAATACACAGAACATATTCAATCAGAACCTAAAAAATTAAGCAAATTTAGCACTACAAGAAATTTACTCATAAAAATACAAATATACTAATCTTATCACTGGTAACACCTTGGCTGTTTGATCGGGTTTGATCATCACATAAAAAGCGCTCAGGAGTGAGACCTCTATCTAATCGTACCAGTTGGTACCAATGAGATAATAATTATTATCAACATAATAATTATGATGCCGGTTGCAAGACAGATAACAGGGTTAGTCTACGAAAGTGTCGGCTTTTGATAAGTAATCAAGAAGGTCGCCATATAATTTTCAAATTCTACTTCGTGTTTCCGAGTGTAAAGTCCTAGCTTTCCCTAGCTGAGGCCCTGGTGGTTGTGAGAATCACGCTCGAGCAGCCGATGGCTTGGCGGAGGTTAGTGTAGCCTCGTCATCTTTAACTATCTATCTAGGCCTAGCGATGAATTCGATCCAACTCGGCCACAAGTCAACTCGGCTACAGTCAACTCGGCCACAAGTCAACTCGGCCACAAGTCAACTAACTTGGCCACAAAAAGTTCGGCTACAGTCAACTTGGGCACAAATCAACTCGGGCACAAACAAGGGTCAGGCTCACTAGGCCTAGGCCTATAATCGTGCAAACCCGGTCGCCCATGTTTCACCAAAAGACCATAATAATAGAAAAGTGTACCAAATTTCATGGAGTTTTGATAACTAACAACAGAGTTATGACGATATTTATAGTCATGAGTATGCAAAATTCGTGTGTCGCCAGATAAAAAATACCGTTTTAGCAATCTGCCATTCAATAAAAGCTGTGCACCACAGGGCTTATAGTTACCGATTTGTAAGCTGGTTGGAAGGTTGTCAATTTGTACTATAAGTTTTTTAAATCGAGGTGGGTTTAGTATCATGGTTATGGTACAGTTTATCCGTGTCGCCAAATGCACGTAATTTACGTTACATAATGATAATTGCTAGGAAAAACATATATTATTGCAGGAAAACATTAAGGTAATATTTAATATTTGCTTAGTATAAGATGTTATGAATACTGTATTGTTAATTCAGAAAAGTAGAAAAGTCATCTATGCAAAATATGGTCTTGAAATTTTGATTGTCGCTTTTAAGCAGTGAAACATACGTTACCTGATTTCTTCATAAACCAATTCAAGAATTTGAACCAAACTAAACGTGAGAAATAGTTAAGTAATAAGCATGGATACAGCGTCAGTAAATCATCATTGGTGTTGGGTAATCATGTTTAATTAGTAATTGTAATTAAAAAAGGTAATATACGTTACAGTAACCTACATTACGTTTTGGAATATTAATCCATATTAATGAAATATAGAGGGCATAGAACTATTATAAATGACCTTATTTACGCTGCCAACGACACATGAAAGTCTTAGAACCTTCTAAGAAAAAATGGCATTGAGCAATTGACACCCAGAACCTTGTGTTTACCAACTTAGTGTTTCCCTCGAATGTTGGTCCTACGCCCATCATTAAAGTGAAGCAATTTGGTAAGTATTTATTATAAGCTGTGTCTCGACTATATTTAGTTAACAAAATAGTTGATATTTATAATTAAATGTTATATTGAAAATTTCAGGCAATAGCTTAGGCCTAGTTGAAAGGAATACTACATTGTGAAAAGTAACGTATGTTAAACACACAGTAACGTATGTTATTGTTGATATAGCATGTAATAAACATTTAAATATCGTTATCAACGAGCTCACGACGATTATCAGAATTTTACTAAAATACTAAAATATACTGTGTACTTCATTTTAATCATATTGAAGAAAAAGGATGCAAAAACTGAGTAATATTTACATTTCATTTTAATTATAAATAACTTGTGGCCGAGTTGACTTGTGGCCAAGTTAACTTGTTGCCGAGTTAACTTGTTGCCGGGTTGACTGTAGCCAAACTTTTTGTGGCCAAGTTGATTTGTATCCGAGTTGACTTGTGGCCAAGTTGACTGTGGCCGTGCTGACTTGTGGCCGAGTTGACCTGCTTCCCTAGCCTTATCCTGCACTTAAAAATTTGAAATTGAATGAGTAACTGATGAATAATTATTTGTGATTCTTTCCAAAATTATATTGACAGGGCTTCTTCTTGGTCTGATGTTTTTTTTTGTTTTTTTTTCAGTCAGAAGTGCAAAGTATTATACATTAATCATTAGGCCTAGCCTAGGCCTATCTATCTAGCCTATAGGCCTAGCTAGGCCAAATAAAATTTTTGCTATGACAACACAGTTGGAAGTAAGTCCATTACGATTGCAGACAGTTTTTATAACGTTCGCACAATGTTTAAAACGGGAAGACCTTACGCCCGGTGTCCTTTGTAGTCCGTTCTAAACAAGTTCCAATCCGTCCTCAACCCGTTTAACCCCCGTTCACAGTAAGTTTCAACCCGTTCTAGGACGTTTCTACATGGTTCGCACTACAACATGTCCATTCAAGCCAGTTCATGCTCAGTCTTGCCCGTTTGCACTGCGTTCTCAGGCAGAACGGGGATCTGGGTCATGTTCCAGTCCGATCTGCTGTAATATGACCCATATCTAGCCCTTTCTCCTCATTTTGATTCAGTACTTGCTATAGTAAACATGCCAAGAAAACAGAAGAGGCAAGGGAGAGAAACCTCAAAGAAATACATTGATGATTTTCCTGCTGATGACGATGCTGGCCCATCTACTCCTGCTGCTCATAAAGTCAAAGAGGAGGATGCTCTAGGGAGTGAGACACCATCATTACCTCATTCTGAAAATAATGAAGCAGAATCACAAATTCAATAGAGCAAGAAAAAAAGGTCAAAAAGATTGACACACCATGGTAAATTAATATAGCATAACAATTCAGCCAGAGAGTTGATTTCCAAATAAGGGAGCATCATTGGTCTGCACTATTATAACAAAAACTTTGCTGATTCGACAAATGCAAATGGGGTGGACGTAGTTAAAATGTAGTAGAAACGAGTAGATCTGACTAAAAACGGATTGAACGTACTGACAAATAGTAGAAAGTAGTAGATCTGAATAAAACTTTTTATAACTAAATAGCAACATATCACAAACGTATAAACTGGTTAACATGGCTTAAGAACGCAGTGAAGGCGTAATGGAATGTAGTTAGGTCAGTCTGAGAATGGGCAGGACGGGGTGGAACGTAACAGCATCTGTGTTGGATCGTATTCCTATTTTTTCCCCCGTTTGCACGATGTTCAGTTCGTTTCTGACCTGTTCGTTCCTTGTTCGCAGTACGGCAATTCCATTTTCAGCACGACAATCTCGTTCGAAACACGACTCCTATTTTTGAACGGGTAGAACGCGATCAAATTTTAAACATGGTTGACGTTCTGAACCACCATTCCCGTCCTTGCCCGTTCATACCGTTCGTACTAAGATTGTATTCGGTCTCTGCTACGTCCATTCCGTTCATATCCAGTTCGTCCCCATTCCACCCCGTTCTTCAGAACCTAGTGCGAACTAGTTCAGTGTGAAGGGGGTATAGTAAATGAATGTGTGTGAGGGTGTTGGGTCGTTTCAGCCCCCAATTTGATTCGGCCCGGGTTGATTAGGCCCTGCCTGAGTTGTTTCGGTCCAGCCCAGAATGTAAAGTAAGGCCTGCACGGGGAATACAGTATATTTTTCGCGCAAAAAGTTGGCTTAGAAATCCATCCATGCATTTCAAAAAATAATTCAGATTTCCATACAGATTTTGCCGAAAATTAGACTTTGACCTAATCTTAATATATATTATCAATGTGTTGTGTCCGGAGATTTGCTTGCAGTGTAAAAGGGGTATTATATGTTCTATCACTTGTTTTTTTTGTTGGTTGACTTCCTGGAGACAAATAATAAAAACATGCAAGTATCATATTTGCGGAAGATTGTTTCCGGGAGATTTTTGCTTGCTCACGGTATTTGCAGGCCGCCTTCCTGCTGATTTCGAGGAGACTCTATCCCGGGCCTTAGCAGGAGACTTGGGACCCCTGGACACTAAATGTGGTTTTTAGATTTCTCTAGGGAAATTAAGAAGTAAATACATTAAATTTTTTTTTGGATGTACAGTTACTGCATGCTGTTATTTATTCTTAAAGTATTTCATGGTAGCCAGACATCCAGTCCTGTACTCATTTTTTTACTAAACTTTTCATTAAAATATTATGATTTGCATTAGCTAATATTTTTATGTGTCAGTAATAACATTTGTTTTTATTAACATTGGAGGGAAAATTTTCAGTTGGATCTGCCAAAACCATGATCTTTGGTTTCTAAATAGGGAGTCTTTAATTGGAGAGTTCTACTAATGATAAAAGATAGGCACATTCCACCGAGGGCTGCAGAAAAGTAAGCTTTAGGTGGAGGTGGTCTTTAATTGGAAGGGTCTTTAATTGGAGGCAAACTGTATCTGTATATCACAATCAAGTGTGATTAACTACTGTAATAAAGTACGGTTAAATAAGAGTGAACTGTCAATCAAATAATTAGCTGTCAGGTAGCATGTACCTTCATTTGTTAGCAGTCATTAATATCACATGTTTTGGCTTGTTCGTATTAAATCAGATGTCAGGATTTTTGTAGCCCTAATGCTTGTAATGTTAACTTGTGGTAATTTAACACCAACTTTACTAATGGACAACTAATGGTCTTGCTGGCCTATTACTTTGAAAGCACAACAACAATCATTAATTTCCTCTGATGCTTGTATGAAAACAACCCATTCTGAAATAATGAAAACAATTTGGATTTTAGATTCTGATTTCATTTATTGTCACCAGGCAAGCTATACGAAATGTATTTACAAACTTGGAATAAAGAAACGGTATATTAAAAACAAATAATACTTTATATGTTAAAAACTAATTTGATATTAAATATTTCAGAATACAGTACAGTAGTAATAAATTGGAAGATATGATATGATTTATAAGATATTGTTATTTTAATAAGTGTTAATTTTAATTGTTGCAGTTATTAATTATGTAATTATTATAATCATTACTATGTTAATAATGATTATTATTAATATGTGTAATAATAATAAGATAATTATAAATTGTAATATTTCTGTGTTATTATTGTTTTTTTTTTTTTTTTATTTGTTCTTAATGTTTATGGAACGGATTATGGAAAGGCCCTTCTTTTGTTTTAATTTTTCCCTTCTCTTTCTCCTATCCAGTTTCCCTTGATGTTCTTGCACAAAGTTATTCTGTGCAGCTCTTCATCAAACTTACTCGAGAAAAGATTAATGCATTCAACAAATTCCTCTGGGCCTTGCATGATGCATTTCTGTCATGCATTAATCTAACCTTCACTAATAATTTCCGCTAGTATATGATACGTAACTATACTAAATGATTATTAGTAAACTGTTCATTAGAAAGTGAGGCTAATGCACTAAACCGAAGATAGATAGAAAGTAACTTGGTCATTGCAACTGAATAAACACATAGAAAGAAAACCACCTGATTTTCTTAGCTTTGGTTCTGTAGTAGGCCTATTGTTAGTGCGAGTCAGTGTATAACTGCATCTAAACTAACACAGTGACTTCATTTATTTCGAACACCAGATCTTATCAGTAACAACACAAGAGGGGGAAAGTTCCCCACAACAAGGGTATTATACGGACTTGGGCCATTAGGGATTAACAGTAGATAAAATGGGTAGGTCTCCCAGACCCTCACTGACCCCGATGGAGGCCCCAAGCATACCACTAGGTCCTGCAGAGGCCCAGGCAATAGGATAAAAAATTAAAGGAATGATGCAATTGATATCCATTTCAAATTACAGAAATATTAGGTTCTGATTACTTGCCCTCAGAATTTTGCTTGCACTTGGCCTTCCACTTGACCCCAATAGAGCCTGTAGGTCACCTTTCGACTCATCTGTTGAGGCCTGGCAGCTAAACAGACCCAGGGGCGCTCTTTTTCCCAGTGAGGAAATGCCCTTAGTTACACTGAGACAAGCGCTCAAGTCTTGTGCGAGAGAAAATATGTTGAGTGTTCACAATTGCATCCATGTCTTTAATAAGGTATGCAAACTACAGATAAAAATATTTCTACTTGAGTATTTATAATACAGGTTATTTATTTTTAAGACTACAGCACAATGTAATGATAGATATGATAGAGATTTGGAAATAGCAACATCCTGTTTTTTTTAATATCATATTAAGACTGAGGTATTTTCTTGGCAAGTATTTGTACCGTTGACTTTTATAAATAAGTCAAGCAGATGATGTGTATATTTAAGCAGACCATGCAGACAAAAAAGTTGTCTGCTTTAATAAAACTATATCTTTGAGAACAATAGAATTAGAACAGGTCACTGAAACTTAATACAGGGTATGTATATAAAATAGTGGTCATTTGGTGTCTGTTCAGTTATAGAATCGATAGATAGAATAGAATATATAGTATATATTTATCAACTTTTTGCAAGGAGCAAGACTCAAACAAATCCACTGTTCTAACCTGGCATTAGAACAACATTTTGAAGCAATTTTTCTGGATCAATGTACAATTATGAAGCAGTTGTCCTCGTCTTGTGTGTCATACAGCTCTCCACCTGAATGTATTATAGAGCCACAGATTCCTCAACTGTACTGAATGCATTAATTATCTCAATTGTACTGTAAACATTCATTATCTCAAATGTATTGAGATAATTATTATGGATTCAATTCATTATGGATTCGTGTTTGAATTTCATTGAAAAAATTCTTGCAAAAAATTTGTAGGACAGAAAAAAATTTGTGGTGGTGGTGTTTATTGTGGTAGTGTTGGGAGTAGAAATGGGGATGGCAATACATATTCTAACATTTTTCTTTTTGTCTTTTATAGGAAACAGTCAGCTGAAACTCAAGAATAATGGAATATCAGGTAATTGAAAAGAACCAAACCAATCAAGACTTATGACACACAAGACTCATCCTATACAGTATTATACAACAAGGGCATAGAAGTCTAAATGAGTTTTTCCATTTAGGGGGGGTTTTTTTGCATGGCAATATTTAACTTAATAATTGGATCAAGAAGATTATTTTATACACCCAAGTTTGAGGTGCCATCAGAATGAAGTTCTTAGGATGTATTGGTAACAATCTGACCAGTGTCTTTAACAACTATGGCAAGTTTATTTCCAGACATCCATACAAATTTCTGCTGTTTCCTCTCATTTTATCCTGTGTTTTATCCATTGGATTCTTCTATCTTGAAATGGAAAAGGATGCTGAATATCTCTTTACACCATCTGATAGTATCGCACGAGACGATAAAACAGAGATTTCTAAACTATTCCCAATAAATTATACAGAATTTAAAGAAGGGCGACTGCTAAGTACCAGTGAGTCCAGCGGCACGGTCATGGTCCTACCACAAGATAGCGTGAATCTTCTCTCGGTAGAAGCTATTGATGAAATTATTCGTCTTGATCGTAAAGTTAAAAGTATTATCATTTATAGGGACAAGGAAGTTTTGCAGTACAATGATCTATGTGCTAAGTGGAAGGGTAAATGTGCAGAGAACAATTTTCTCAATGCGCTTAATTACAATGCTAGTAACATTCTCAACATGCAACTGACATATCCATTTCTACGGAGCGGAAGTCAGGCCTTCTTCATCGGTGCTACTTTTACTGAAGTTGATTATGTTAACATGAGTGATGTCTTTCAGTCTGCATTTGCTTTCAGAACAACCTACTACTTAAGCTCTACTCCAGAAGTAAAAGACCTTTCTATAGATTGGGAGTACGCCTTCCTCGATGCTATGGAGGACTTTGAATCTCCTCACATCAAGATTGTTTACCTTACTTCAAATACACTTTCAGACGAGCTTGTAGAGTTGAGTGAACGTGTAATGCCTCGGTTTTCTATAACATTTGGTGTGCTGTTCATGTTTGCTGTTGGCTCTTGTATGATGAGTGATTGGGTTCTAAGTAAGCCATGGCTTGGTCAGTTAGGAATCATCTCTGCAGCCCTTGCAATTATGTCTACCGGCGGGATCATGGGATTTGCTCAGGTTCCTTTTAACCAGATAGTGTCAGTTACGCCTTTTCTAGCAATAGGTAAGAATTTTAATTTCTTTTTCATTCTTATTAAAGAGTATAACTCACTACTGAATACACATAGGGATGTTTTGATGATCAAAATATATTTTATTATTAGGCTTTGTAGTTTTTGTACAGTAGTTCAAATATAGAAAAAGTCTTAGGAAAAAGGTTAAAAAATTATTACGGGAACAAGAAAAAAACAAGGATAAAAATTAGAAAGATAATTACAATTAAAACTTAACATAATGTTTCTTAAAAAGTTTACAGTAAGCTAAAATTTTGAAAAGGTCTCTCTAAAATTGTTTTAGAATTTTATTCAGTCCTGTTTTTAAGAATTGCCACATGTAGGATGAATAAAATTGATTTCCACTCAGTAATCAGTAGGTCAACTATATTAACCACCAAAATATAGCTCCACTCCATGTGATGATGTATTTTAACAAATACAATAATTAGTGATGGGTATGATGTCATTATAAATTTATATCATACCTGTATTCGGACATACAGTAGGTTATTGAGATAATATTTTAAAATTTAAAAAACTTTTACCTATAATATTGTATAAAGTACAATGTTATTATTTTTTTTAATGTTCATTCATTCTAGTTTACTATAGTATCATGAAAATTCTATAATTTGACAGTAATGGTAATTATGGTACTATAATTTTTTGGAAATGTAGTGTTGATGATAAGCAAAAAAGGGAAACTACACAATTTCAATAATGCTTTTATTTATTATTAATCAAAAAGGAGCTTATAAAAATGTTTTTCAACACATTGCTTTTGGTAGGTATTGGTTTGGATGATATGTTCATTATGCTGGCTGCTTGGAGGCAGACAAACCCAAAGCTGTCTGTCGAAGAACGAATGGGGCTAGCTTACTCGGAAGCTGCGGTTTCAATAACCATAACAAGCTTAACAGACATTCTTGCTTTTAGTATTGGAGCCTATAATCCACTCCCTGCAATCCAAATATTTTGCCTGTACACGGGTGTAGCTATCGCCTTTGACTATATTTACCAAATCACATTTTTCGGGGCGTGCATGGTTCTGATTGGTCGTCGTGAGGCAGCAAATAGACACTGCTACACATGTAAAAAGGTACTACCGAAAAAAGAAGCTAAATCCAGATTGTATAAGATTTTTTGCGCTGGAGGATTTACAGAGTCCGACACAATAAGCAAGAATGAGAATGAGCCTTGGCTAATGCAGTTCTTTAAGAATTATTATGGACCATTCATTATGAAACCGGCGGTGAAGATTTTGGTACTGATTGCATTTGCGGTGTACATTGGTTTAGCAGTATGGGGTTGCACACAGTTACGTGAAGGCCTCGAGTTGAAGAAATTAGCAGCTGATGACTCATACGCTTTTGAGGCTTTTACTCTTGAGGATGAGCACTTTAATGAATTTGGTCCACCGGTGCAAATTGTGTTCACAAACAAGCTTAATTATTGGGAATCTGAAGTGCAAGATCAGTTGGAGAAGATCATACAGAGCTTTGAGAAATCAAAGTACATACACAGTTCAAACTTTACTACCTCTTGGCTACATTCCTATCAGCTGTTCTTATTGGAAAACAACATCAATATCAACAGTTTAAACCAGACAACGTTTTTCAAGATCCTACGTGAACATTTCTTACAAGTACCTCATTTTCAAGAGTTTTCTCTCGATATTAATTTCAATTCAGATGCAGATGACCCCCAAATTACATCATCCCGCTTCATTGTCATTTCAAAGAACTTGTATACATCAGTTGATGAAGCCACCTTCTTGAGTGAAATTCGCAACACCGGACGTCAATCACCAATTCCTCTACGTGCATTTGGTCCAACATTTGTCTACACTGAACAGTTTATCATAATTGTACCAACAACACTACAGAATTTAATCATTGCTACCATCTGTATGTTTTTTGTGGCACTGGTGCTGATACCGCATCCAATCTGTGCTGTGTGTGTCACAATTTCCATCGCATCAATTGAAGCTGGGGTTATAGGATTCATGACATTTTGGGGGGTGAACCTCGATGGTACATCGATGATCAACGTTATTTTGTGTATTGGCTTTAGCGTGGATTTCACAGCACATGTTACGTATGCATATGTCATTGCTACTGATGAAGATCCAAACAAACGTGCAATATCTGCGTTACATTCCTTAGGTATGCCAATTGTGCAGGGTGGTTTTTCTACAATTCTAGGCATGTTTGCGCTCTGTTCGGCTCCCGCCTATATCTTCAGAAGCTTCTTCAAAGTCATGTTCCTTGTGATGCTGTTTGGTTTATTTCATGGGCTTTTACTTCTACCAGTAATTTTGAGTATCTGTGGACGATTTATGAAACCAAAGCAGCATCTACCAGCCAGACAACTGAAAGGGAAGACAGAGGAGACAGCAGATGAAGGTAATAATGAAAAGTATACCTTTCATATGTTGGAAAATGAAAGAATAGAGGATTTCATTACAACTGTATGATTTAGAACCATTTTCTATTTTATTTCTTCTCATAAAATATAAACAGTACTGTACTAAATAAATATAAAAAAAATAAATATTATAAAAACAACAGAAAGGACACAATGACAAGATTAAACATATCGTCCTAAACAAATGAATTGGGGTTGAAAATTATGCTATTTAAATAAAAACAAAATATCATTAAAAAAACTGTTTTGTATATGCTAATAGACAAAGTTTTAATAAGGCTATTAAATAGCTGTTATAAAAGTCTACAAGTTACTTTAATTGGTGTTTTGGGCTTTCTTACTTTATGATAGACAGTTATGTTGGTAGATTATTAATATCCTATACAGTACTCTACTTACCAATAGATTTAGATCACATTTTTAGTATTTGTCTTCTTATTCATTTTATTTGTTTTATGGTACTATATTTTATTTATATATTTTGATGACAAAAAAAATATGCTACTATAAACCAATTAACATTATTTTACAGTACTGTACACTCTTGTATAGTTTTGACTTCAATCATTTTTCTGTAAAGTTGCAGTCCCAAGTAATAGTCACATGACAAGGCATTATCAGCTCATTGGCTATGGTCGGTATTACTATATCAAATTAGCTTTATATAGCCACGTTGTGCACCCTGTACCATGGAGATTCATGTGTTCTGCTAGCAAACTACATATTTTTAGAAAGTTCTATTACTGTATATTATTTCTTGACATTAATTAAGGCTCTACTTTTTTAAAACTGATAGCCTATATGTGAAACATACAGCTGTAGTGCTCCACTCAATATTACAGTACTATTTAAAGGGACTGCAATTTTAATTTTAATCAATGTTTGATGTGTTTAATGGTGCATGGGGATATTTAAACATATTTAAAACACATGTGCAATACTTATTAATTTCTGTTGGGTTCTCACAGTAATTTGCTGTTCATCGTTCATGTTATATATGGAATATGCTGCTCTGAATTATTTGCTGTTCTATTCTGCTTGCTTCTCAATTTCATATTGTATTTTTTATATATTTATTTAATAATTTTTAATTAAGATATTGTGCTATGTAGAAATACATGACTATTATCATTCTGAAATATAGACTACATCTTTTTTGTCATACTGAAGTGTGTATGTGATCAGTGGTGTTTCCACCCCTTCCCCTCCCCCCCCCCACTACCACCATCACCATTGTTTGTTTATTACTATGACCACCTCTGTGGCACTAATGTACTCTAGTTTATTTTTGCCAATGTTTGTACAGATGTTATATATTATTGCAACTTGTGAACCAAAAAATATTTAACACAATGTATAGTAATATGTTTTCTCTTCCAATTATTACAACTGCAGCTGAGAGTGCTTTGAATGTGGTATGAATATATCCATTGACTGTAGTTGTACTCTAGTTTATCATGATGTTTTATAGTGTGCATGTGGTACTGTAACAATGGTCCTCATACACTTATAAAGTTCTTTCCAAATGATGGTTTGATGGTGAAATTTTCTGTCCAACATATGTGTAATTATGACATTAAGTTTAAACCTACAATACACAATAGAGTGCCTTGAATGTCTTAATATTATGCTAATTGTTGACTGTTTATTATTTATTTATTTATTTATTTATTATATTGACTGTTTTATTATATATTACATTTATAGTATATTCTGCTGTATTGTAACCATGTAACGCTGTTTGCTTGTTATTTTCACAAGATGCACATATGTACAGTATATATAGCCTGTTCATATTCCTCATGTTTCACTTCTGTTTTCCTGTTCTTTTACTGAAAGTGTTTTGTATGTAGAATGCATTTAAAGGTTCTCCCCTATTATGTGTGCGCATTTACAACACATTGTGTTTATTTAAATAACTATTTTATCAGGATATCCCTACAGCCTTGTTGATTTAATAATTAATTCGTATTAATTGCCAAATTAAACCTAACACAGTATAAATTAAGAATGATAGACATTCAATGGTAGACTTTATGATCACTCTTTTATTTAATGTGGTACAGTATTCGAAATATTTCTGCTTCTCCTGTGGTCATTTCGCTGATGAAGGCAAAGAGTACAGTAATAGAAAGAAAACTAATTCTGCTGATTTTACATGCACACAACAAAACCAAAAATGAAGTACTATCACAACTTACTGTAGTAACCTACATATGGATAAAAAATTCCAACAAGCATTTTGTACTCACAGTGTGCATCCAATGTGGGCAAATTTTTACATACGGTGTGCATCCGATACAAGCTACTTCTACATGTATATCATCATCGATCATTGTTATAATCCTTATCTCTCTTTTAGGGATGCTCTCCTTTGGGATTGCATTTCTAAGAAAACCCAAGCGTTAGACCTCTTCCACCTTATGGTATGCTCTTTGATTGCATGAGAAGCAGCAATATCCGTGTACACGGTACTGAAAAAAATATATTTTATATCTTGAATATCAGTTTTATTGAAATTTCATTGAAAGTCTATCATCGGTTATCTGTATATATGTTGTATATAGAATTAGAACACACTAAAGATATAGTATGTATTTGTATGAGACATGAGTTTGTGTATTAGAAATTCTATAATATTTATGACATGACTGAATACTAAAATTGCAGACATTAATTTCTTCTTTTAAGAATACATTATTACAACTCCTATAGAATCCAAGAAGAAGAATATTAGGATAATAAATTACAAAGTGTTTCCCGCCAAAAAATACCTAAACAATAAAAATATAAATACATGTTATTTACAAATTTGCATTTGAAAAAATAGTAACTCGTAAATTGAAGTGTTTCCTGCCTTATCCGAACGCTCTGTCATTGTCCCCACCGTACTTACAGTGCTTAAATGCTTGCTTGCCGACAGAAATAAAGAGAGTTATAAACAACATAATTTATAAAAATTGATACATAGTTTAAATGGTATTAGTAGATTATTATTATAATATTTATAAATTTACATTTTACGAAATAGTAATTCATAAATTGAAGCGTTTCCTGCCTTATCCCAACACTTTGTCATTGCCCCACCATACTTAAGGTGCAAAGATGCTTCCTGCCAACAGACAATACAAAAAGTTTTAGACAACAGAATTTATGAAAATTGATACATAGTTTTATGTTATTGGTAGATATAGATGAAAATCAATAAACCATTTATCAATGCATATTAGTGTGTGTTTTGATTGTTTGAAATTTTAGGAATGGATATACAGTAAATACACAATTTAACACAAAGGACATTTTTGAGCATGGGCATTTTAAGATGTGATTTGCAGTGATTTTTTTTATTTCAAAACCTTTTCAGGAAAGAAGTAATCTTGTAAAGTGGCATTGAAATATAATAAAATTAATTTATTTTTAAACAAGATAGTGTACAAAATTAAAACATTCATAAAATTAAATAGACTTCAGATTAAGCTAGCTGAGGAGCAAGGTAATCACTGAAAATCGTAATTTTTCTTTTTAACTAATACACACATATTCATTCTAGTATTAATTTGTTGTAATCTTAAATGGTCCATATCCTGTAAATAGAGTCATTTATTATTACTGGGTCAAAGGAGCTGGTACCAACAGTTCAAATTCAGTAAATTCAACCAATATTTTACTTCCTTTACTACTTGAATATGAATACTCACGACATGATGCAATATTAGTGAACTGTGAAATGTTTTGCCATTTAGTATTGGTAGGTTTTATAGAAGAGAAATATATACTGTAGTTTTACATTTAGTCTGTCATTTGTAACATTTTCATAATCAGCTTTTCTTAATCAAATTCATCATCATTTATGTTAACATTTATGTTTAATATCCATGTAGTATTCTGTTAAATTGGTTTTCTCGCAGACTGATCTCATAGTCAATTTATTATAATAAACCCATATTTATCATGATAAAAATATCAACATCTGATCCTGATATCCTTAATATCAGTGACATGAGCTTCTGAGAGGGTCAATTTAACACATACTCTGATTGTAGAATGGTGTAGGGGCCTACCTGTTTTATGTAGTTGTAGTATTGTGACAAGAAATCTGGTAAGTATTCTGTTGATCTTATTAATGTATTAATGCAGTACAACCATCTTTTTATTATGTATGATGCATGCTTCAAGGTTAATTGTGTTTCCTGCTTTTTGACCTTTGACATTTATATATATGTACAGTATAGTATATATTATGTAACTCATTTTAATAATATATATAAAATATACACTTTCTTTGGTATTAGAGTAAAATAAATAATAATGATAAATAATGTGGTGTTGAATTCTAGTATAAAACATTGTAAATAACACACTTCAGGCTTATTTTTGCAATTGTTTATTTGTAAATGTAGAATTATCTAAAATGTTTTTAGCACCCAGCAATGAGTGACTTGCAGGAACTATTTTTTTAAGCTAAACTATAATATACTTAAATTTATTATGCATTTCTAATATATTATCTGTCCAGAAATCTGGATGATCATTTAAAGGATCAAAAAAGTTATCAGAGCTGACCTTTTACTATGGAAGACTTTAGATTGGTTACATGGCAATTTAATGGTCTATACAAAGAATTTTTGGAACAATAATATTATCTATGAGGTGGTTTTTTTTATAATTATAATTTTAAATTCGAAGCTAAGTCTTATGTTTTTTAAATTAAAGTAACCGATTTAAGTACTGTAGTAATTATAAATTTACAGTACTCTCCTAAAAATTTACTTGCATTTCTTTTTTCTTAATTTCAGTAAAATTTGTTACAAAATTGGGAGAACCAATTGTGAGTATTTCAGGCTCTGTATTTTTTGGAATGGTGTCCCAAGAAGAGGTTGAAGAGAATGGTAACACTATAACACAAATGGACATCAATGTGCTCATTAACCAATGTAATAAAATCTGACAAGCTGAAGACAATGCAAAATATTACTTTGTTTTAGATACTCAATTTCATATTCAGAATAAGGTGGTTTGGTGTTCTGAGCTCTGTTTTTAATTAGTTTAAAATCTGTTGATAATTCACATTGATTAGCAGTAGTGGCTTTACTAGTACAAGGGAATACGACCCAACACCCAGGGGTTGCCTAGTTCCCCCTGTGAGAATCCACAAGTAAAAACTTGATTGGGATGAAGGGGATTGTGGTTCTAGACCACAATAACCCCCCCCCCCCTTTCATTGGACAAATACTGGACACTGCTGGACATAGTCTGGACTGGAAATAGTGTGTGAAGGCTCGACCAGCAGTCAGAGGCATCATGAATGTTTTGGGAGAAAAAATTCTAAAATATGTACTGTTGGGCTATATAGTATACAGATAACATTTGGTACTGGAGGCTATCAAGGCAATTTTCATTGTCAGAGGCACAAACATTTTTTTCCAGGCCCTGGACATAGTTTCTGTTTCCTATGTGTAGCAGGGTATGGTGTAAACCTTTACAGCCAGTGACATATCTGAAGTAAGCATGGAGTGCAAGCCTCTCAGAGACTCCCCACAGAAAATTTTGTTGAGCACTCGACAGTGATAGTTAAACCACCTCATATTTGTTCCCAGATATATTGCCTCCTTGCTCCTAATCATACACCCCCACCCCAATTTTTATAGCCCTAGGAATGCCATGCCTTACTGCTATTAGGCTGAAAAATGGTAATATTGATAGTGTGTGAATTAATAAATTTATATCAGGTTTATAATTTACAATGCAATATCAAAAGTGATTTTAATTAATTGGGATAATAATAACATTAAGAATTTGTATTTATAAGATGTGTGTTGTTTGGATATCTGTTTTAAATATTAGGGAAGTACTCAATGTTCTGTATATTAATATTTGGTGGAAAACACATTTTCTCCCATCAGGATCCATTGAAAACCAAGTTATAAAGTTGATATACACTTAGATTGTAATGGCTCTTGTTCTTGAGCTAGTGTATGATGGAATCGATACATTGTATATGGTCATTTTTCTTTTGTGGAAAATTAATTTCACTTTCATATGCTGTACTTTTATAATAGGACATACTGTAGATATTTCTAATGCTCTGATGGTTGTATGAAACCACAATGACAAAAATACTGAGTTAAACCGGGAGTTAAACACTTTAGGACTAACTATTGATATTTATTTATTGATTTTGTTAAACATTTAATCTTTTGCTGGCAGCATGTCAGCTTCATCAGCTAAGCTTGCATCAACCTGTTTGTTCTTATTGTTGTTTTATTGTTAATGTTTACATAAATACAGCTGGTTACTAAATCATTACAGACACTGATGTTTATAGAAAAATAATTTGTTAGATTCACTCTATTGCAGTGCATTCATGTTGGTAGATTACTATTCTCCAGTACTATAATTGATAAATCTGTAAGGTAAGTTGTAAATTAGATCTTGTGGAATTGATAGTTTTGTATGTTGTTTATGTTAAGTATATGTGAGCTAGTGCACAATAACATTGTAAAAGCACTGTATATTAGGACTTCCTATATGGAATTCAACCCCAATCTGGGTAGCACTAATGTTTCATCAAGTCAGTCACTGAAAAATTGCAATTACAGTAGAACCTCTCCTTTGGGACACCCCTATTCAGGGGACACCCCCATTAAGGGGACACTTTTCCGTAAAATGATTGGCAATATACTTTTGATCATTACAGCCAACCCCTATTAAGGGGACGTAGACACTTTCTGAGTGTGCAAAATGGTCAAATCAATAAAATTTAACCCCTATTAAGGGACTCTTATTTTGGTTATTGTATCAAAACAACTACAGTAGTCTCAAAATAAAAAAAATCTTTCAAATTTGTATTTTGACAACTTTTGAGCAATTAACTTAATTTCAAAAGAAAATGTTTCTCTCTCAAACTTTAGAATGTGTTACTTCATATAAATACAATCTTGACAATTTTCACCATTAGCCATGGGGAGTTCTTGTTTTGTGTATTTTCACATAAACGTACTACATTACAGGCTAATGTATACCCATCCTGACTTCTACTTCAGTCGTTACTCTATTTATGCTATTCTATCTTGTACATCAAATAGAATGCTCAATATTTGAAAAAAAAAAAAATATTTGACCATTAATATAACACTTGGATCAAGAGATAAATAATATTGGGAACATAGGCCTATACAACTTTTGTAGTTTTCATTACATATCAGTTAATTTCATATCATAAATTATTTATTTTTTGCATTGCAAATATAGGCCTTAAATAAAATTATAAAGAATCTACTGTATGTTGTCATTGTACGAAATATGCCAAAAACCCCTATTAAGGGGACAATTTCACGTTTTTGGTTAAGTGTCCCCTGAATAGGGGTGAACACCCCTATTAAGGGGACAATTTTTTTTATCCCAAAGGTGTCCCCCTAATGGGGTTCTACTGTACGTATTACCTGCCTTATTAATCCAAGTAGGCCTATAAATTGTGTGCATATACTAAAATTTATTTTTAAAACTTGTGCATAGTTACATTTATATATTTTGAATATACAGTATATTAGAATCAGGTACCATCATTGTATTACACAGTAGTAAAAGTATATTTCCATACCATTTTAATTTAACATATAATATTGAGTAATGATTTTACCACTGCATGTCCTTGGTGGGTTTAGGCTGTGGAATGCTCAAAAAGAATTGCATTTCACTTTATAATTAAATAAAAGTATGTAGGTATATTATTCTTATTTAAAATAATCAGAATATCAATGTTTGCCGTAAATAACTGCTTTGTGTTATTGTCTAATAAATATATATTATTGATATATTTAAATCATTTATAGACTTTGTTTTATAATTTAACAAGAATTTCATCATCTTACCAGTAAAATACAAAGAAAAAAGTCAATATCAAAAAAGCTAATTCCAAGGAGGGAGCTGGTACATGACATAACAATGTTGGACATAATAATATGGACAGTTTTGTATTTCTATATTTCTTTCAGCTACAATGTAGCATTAATTCAGAACATGAAATTTATGCGTAAGGGTAATTAAAAAATCAGGCGCAAGTTTGGAGTCAGAAAACCCATCTCTCTCTAAGCAACTAAGGCTTGGTGACAAATTTATACCCGATTCAAAACAATTTTCTTCAATCTCTGCATATAGCAGAACAAACCAGATACTCACTGTTTGAACCGACAATGTAGAATTACAAAAGAGAAAATCCTATAGATAATATGGCATATAGAGATAAACTCTAAACCATCATCATAAAATATATGGACTTCTAGATTCTGGTATCTGCATAAAGAGTAAACAAAATGTCACCCCATAACTCATTCATACTTTTAATTAGTTTCCACTTGATACAAGTACAGAAATGTAGCATAAATAATACTAAAAAAAGGCATAAGTAACTTAGAATGTAGTATCAAATGAAGAATCCTGAAAGGGAAACAAAGCTTGTTTTATTTAGGCTCCTCAAAAAAACAAAATGATAATAATTATCCGCCTAATTATCATTAAAAAATTAACCAAATACTACAAGTATTGCCATTATATATTATACAATTTAAGAATGGTTGTCCATAAAAATCAAAGACTTGGTGGCAGATGTCAAAAAATGGATTTCTCTCAAATTTTTACCATGAATAGATACTTGGGTAAAAAGCATATCTATGACATTTTGTTTAATTTTTTAGCCTTCGTTGTCATGGCCATGACCCATTATCTAACTTTTACCGTTTTTGTCAATTTTGGACATTTTCAGAGGTGAAAAAACACTGACTTTCAGACCTTATTTTAAAAAAAGAACATGCACTGTATATATTTTTGTGATCATCCATGTAAGTAACCAGGTATTAACTTCCATTTATCGCAAAAAAAAATTGTGTAAAAAATTCTGTTTGGAAGATACTATCATTACAAAAGGGGGTTTTTCTCAAAATATATATTTTTTTTTAAGTATGCCTCTGAAACCTATCTGTAACTTCCAAAGTGGTGCACACACATCCAAACAATAATCAAGAAAAAAAGTTGTGGGTAATTTACACACGTGGATGCTGTATTGCCAGAAAAAACGTCATTTTTTGAATAAAAATATATCATTTTTTACTGAATGGATAACACTATAAATAAACGTAAATTTATTTCAAAATAATGTTACTATAGTTACATAAATAATCTAACAACATGTTAAGAAATGTGTTGCCAGATCTGCTCATTTCAAGTAATTTAAAACTTAATTTTGTACTGTATTGCCAGAAAACAGCATTGATTTTATTGAAAATTAACATAAATATACATTTTTTTACTGAACAGTTAAAGCTATAGCATTCCTAGCTATTCTCCTGTTTTTCTCAACCACTGACACTGACTATTTGGAATTTCTTTTGAATATATTCTTTTTATTGTTTCTGAAAATCTTTTCTTGTTTTCTTTGAATGTGAAGGTGCATATTTAATAAGTGTTGATTATCTTTTCAGTAAACCTCTTATCAGATTACTCTTCATATTCTTCATATCCACACCTATCTGCTCAATATGGTAATACATGGTACAACACAAGATTTAAATATTTCACTCCATGCACTTTTTTCCCAATTGTTCAGTCTTATGATCACATTCTTAAATATCTATCTTGCTTAGGAATACAACAATCAGCCTTCTTACCACCTCCTTTTGGAGCAAATGAAAATTTAATTGAAAGATTAGACATTAGAAGATAAAAATGCTACCATGGGAATATGCAAGTGTCAGTTGAAAGCATAGCATAACCTAATTCTGCTTTGTCCAACAGTGTTTGATTCTCAGGGGGTCGTGACAAAGTGCGAGCCATACATTTTAAATCTTTTTTATTTCAGGTTATCCAGTTTTGCAAACATGTAGGCCTAGCCTATATTCTTTGGCCTAGTAGATGCAAATGAGCCACACCGGGGAGCTTTGCCAGTGTAGTCCAGTCATGCGCAGTACATACACTTTTGGGTTACTTTTTCGAATCATCGATCCGAAAGTATGCAGCGCTGATAGATGTTGTTAAAATACAGATATACAGATACATACATACAGATATATGTGTGTGTAT